GTAAGATCAGTTACTCCCATAGGATTCATACAAGGTGTAAGATCAGTTACTCCCATAGGATTCATACAAGGTGTAAGATCAGTTACTCCCGTAGGATTCATACAAGGTGTAAGATCAGTTACTCCCATAGGATTCATAACAAGTTATAAGATCAATTAATCTCATAGGATTCATATTGAGTATTGTATAAGATCATCTACACTAATAGGATTCATACAAGTTATAAGATCAAGCATGATAATTATAATGCTTACATTTGAATATATTCTCAGGTATTGAACACAAGTATACATCCAATAGGAATGAAATAATCATGGAGCAATCAGAAATTAAAAGTCCACTAGAAAAAAGCATTGAAGATGATCTTGAACAAATTTTGAAAAGTGTGACATTCGATGACAATATTGAAACTATTTGTTGTCCACCTGTCTCACCAATGTCACCAATTTATGGGGCTCCAGATGTCATTAAAGAAACTGTGCTAGTTGAAAATATTGATGACACTAATGCCACTAATGAATACCAACCACCAGTGAGTGCAATTAGGGCGCGGTTTGAAGAGTCTCCTTGTACAAGTCCCAATCAGCCACCTGTAATGTCAGAATATAAAAAACCAACATCACCAAGCCGGATAAAGCTAGGACAAAGTAGTTTATATACTACGAAACGTACTTCTTGTACTTCACCAACACAAAGACTGTCTCCAAAAGCAGATGGAGACACAGATAAATTATCAGTATCTAGCATTCAGTCTTGTGAACATGATGAAACAAACCAAACAAAAACATTAAATGTTACCCCAGTATCAAACATACTTCCAGAAGCTGCTGAATCACTTAAGAATGAAAACCGTAGAACCTTGCATGTCAATCCAGATGACTTTGAGGATGAACTTCAAAAACAATTATGTGTGAAACATGAGCAAATGGTGGCAGAAAGAAAACAGGAACAGAAAATGGCCTCACTTGAACGAATACGATTGGAGGAAATTTTAAACATATGTGCAGAATATGAACAACAGGAACATGAGGGCATACAATCACCAACGCATGTTGACGTAAATGAATCAGTGAACATTGCTGTGCAGATTGGTAATGAAACTATCATTAAGAAGAAACGCCACCACCAAAACCACCAAGAATAAAAAAACCTCAAATATCAAAGCAAGTTTGCAATTTAGAGGTATGTTTATAATTGATCTAAATTAGTTCACGCCATTTTTTCATTGGATTTACCATACTTAGGGTAGGATACCCTATCTTTTAGTACAGGGTAAAAATAGTGTCACTGTAAAATTGTATGATTTTTGTCAAAACCAAGATTATTTAATCCTGCTTTTGAATGCGAATTGTCAAGACTACTTAATGCTTTGTTCATTGTTTCATGTTCAATTTAACTACCTTTCGGAAAACTGGTTTCTTTCAAATTGTAATTGTACATGGGCATGGTGCAGTGAGTAGCAATATTCGCTTCACATTTAATTCCACACTGTATTGTGTTGTTTATTTTTAAACACAGTGGATATACAAATAAATTCGCAATTAAATTAGGTTCATTAGTGTCTTAAAAATATGCACTACATGTTGTGTACACAGGTACATGTATATATCTGTTCCACTGATATTTCAAGAACAAGTTCTCAGATTTTGATAGAACGTAGTACATACATGTAGATGCTCTGGAATAATGGACAGGCAGACAGTTTTTAGTTGCAATCTGTGTATACATATAATTTACATAATTTACTTATTTTTCACTGTTCCACCATAATAATTCCACAGATATTTCAAGTACCACTCATCAGATTTCAATAAAATGTGGTATGTAGGTTCTAAGGTACAATCCACCAACATGTTTGGGGTTTAAACTGTGCTATTAGTTCCCTTTCAGACAAGTCTGTGTGTCTGTCCGACATTATTTCTCAGACATGCCTGGACCAATTAGGTTTGAAATTGGCACAGAAGCAAGTTATGATAGAGACATATGCATGTTAGTTAATTTTTATTTCTGTTGATTTTTGGATTTTGATGATGTTGAACATGTCAACTGATTTTCAGGCTTGTCTTGACCAATTTTATTTCAACTTGGTATGAACATACACATATTGGGTTGCAGATTTGTATAAGTTTTTTTTTTTTTTTACAAATGGCTGACTCTGTATTGGTTTTATTTTCATGTGTCCACCATTTCTCACATATGCTTTGACCAATTTTGTTTACATATGTGCATTGATTAGTTTTTT